ATGAATGGATGGATAGCTATTCTGTGCTTCTTCTGTGGGCTTGATGTGTGTCTGCCCAGTGCCCCAGTGAGAGATATTTGTCGCACAGCTCCTGATCTTTCCAGCTCAATCCTTTATCTGCACACGCAGCAATTGCCATTTCATAATCTCATGAACTCATGTGCTTCAAAGCTTTGGCAATATATTATCTCTCTCGAAGGGTTATCTGAAGAGATTATCATCATAAACAACTTGTGAGGAACTGAAAGGGAGCATTATCAGATACAGCAGTCCGCGTTTCTTTCTTCTTCTTTTTTCCAATTCATCTCCACGCGTGACTAAAAAGCTAAGATAACATTTTGGTGGATCCAAAAGCTCTTCCTTTATCTGATTGTGAAATGGTGTAGTGTGTATCCCTCTACTGTCCAGTTCTTTGAGATAACTCGCCATCTCTCTCAACTTCAAACATTTTTTCCTATCCACTTGTGCAGTTATATTCTCATCTTCTGCCGATCAAAATCGCTGTAAATCTTCACCATTTTTGCTTGAATCAAGAAGAAGGTAACAGCATTTTTTTTTTCAGACAATAGCATTTTTATCTTAAGTTGCAGTTGCAGGGTTTGACTGAATTTTCTTTGATTGCTCCTACAACTAGTTACCAAATACTGGTCTTCCTGGTGATATATAGGAGTATTAAACTGGGAACCTCTGAAGCTGAAGTGCTCCAATTCCATGGGTGATGAAAAGGGCACTCAGCCACTCGTGTCACATCCACATCACAAAAGGATAACTCACAGTAGTGAGTAGTAACTGTGGGAAGAATGCTTTGACACTTTTATCCCCACTTGGAGAGTTGGAGACAGAGGACACAAGTAGATAGGGACAGATGAATTGTAGGCAGGGATCTGACCTAGCATGCCAAACACCTTCAGATTGTTGTAGTAGATTGTAGGATAGTTCAGTGTTGGTTTGGATGTTATTCTACTGCTTCCTCCGTCGCAAAATATAACAATTTCTTCACCAATATTCTCTTCCTAACCAGTTACAACTCTTCATTCAATTTCCCTACTTACCTTAACTTTTCAACGAATCATAATCTTCTCTCATTTAAGTACAACATTTTCTATTGTAAATTTGATACCTCTTGGTATCTAGGTACTATGAGGTACCAAATTTTATATTAAATTTTTGGTATCTTATGGTACCTCCTCTAAGACTATAAAATTGCTCTTATTAATATCCATGTCTAACCCTACAAATTCTTATATTCTGGAATGAAGGTAGTAGTAAAATCTTGGTAGCGCCAAAACTTTAGTACTGATAGAAGAGAAGATTGGTAGCGCCATCCATTACCCTACAATTTGTCATCAAACGGAACTGGTCCTTCAATTTTGCTTTGTATACACGAGACAAGATTGGAAATTGGCGCCATTATATTATGGTCAACTTGGAGAGGCAGAACCAAGAAAGGGAAGGAATAGAAGAAGCGTTGCCCATGCTTCTAGAATATTCCATGGCAGCTTCCTTCCCATTTTTCCACGGCTTCTTCCACACCATCCGGAGTGTCTCGTTGTGTGTGCCAGTGCCACATAACGAACTGTGCAGCTGATACAGATGCACTGATCAGAAGGCAACCCAAAAGAATATTCCAACAATGTGGACATCAATTCGGAGTTTCAGAGTATCAAATTACTATAAATTGGACCATATGAAGACTTGGATTTAAAATTTACTCCCTCCGTCCAAAAAAAAAGAGAAACCCTGGTTTCCGTGCCCAACGTTTGACCGTCCGTCTTATTTGAAAAAATTATAAAAAAAATTAAAAATACAAGTCACGCATAAAATATTAATCATGTTTTATCATCTAACAACAATAAAAATACGAATTATAATTTTTTTATATAAGACGGACAGTCAAAGTTGGACACGGAAATCTAGGGTTTGCCTTTTTTTTTTGGGACGGAGAGAGTACTCAACATTTTATAATCAATCTCTGCCATCCCTATGTTGACAACTGATCAGTATGGAGTACTATCAAGTATGGACTGTGGAGTCAACTTATGCTCATGCTTGTACTACAAAATTCAATACTCCCTCCGTTTCACAATGTAATTCATTCTAACATTTCCCATATTTATATAGATGTTAATGAATATATATATATATATATATATATATATATATATATATATATATATATATATATATATATATATATATATATTTATATTTATATTTATATAGATGTTAATGAGTATTGATGCGAAATGCTAGGATGACTTACATTGTGAAACGGAGGGAATAATTCTTTTTAGTATTAGACGATTGACTAAACCGATCTTGTGGGTTTAGCGCCAATATTTTTGCCATCGACAGGTTGGGCCTCAGTGTCCTAGGGCTCGGTGTTGAGGTAGAGGTCTATTTTTTCTGTAGTTTTTTATGGTGTTTATTTATAAAATAAGTTTTCTAAAAGAGCTAGTGTTAAATATTCAGTGTATTATTCCAATTTATATGGAACAATATCATCTCTCTTTCTCTCTGTGTGGTTCTTAGGAAATAGAGGTTTTTATACTCTTTTTGAAGACCAAAGGCTATTAATAATCTCTTGAGTTGAGACCATTTAAAAGTCGCTAAAAACATTATTGTTCAAAATGGTCCTTTACAAAGAGCGAAATTCACACAGTGCTCCTTCGTGGAAATTGCAATGACAGCTTCCAAATGCATGATACCCATTTTGATTATGTTGTGAAGCTGATTTTGAGTTTTACATATTTGCATTGCAATTAATTTTAGAGCTTTACGTGGTTGCTAGGAATACACCTTAAAACATACTACTTATAATATTCTTAAAATACCAAACTTCAAAAACGCTAAATCATTTTTGGATTATATAATTTAAAAAGGAACACGCACGGCTTAAGCTTAACAAATAACTGCGGTTTTTCATTTACAAAGCACGTTACTAGTGCTTTTCATTATATTTTCCCGAGGCTAAAAACGTCATATCGAGCTACTAGACAATTCTAGTTTGGAAAAAGAAATGCCGAACAAATCCTCCAGCTAATTTCACAATCCCGGGACGCATGAAGAGACAGCCCTCCGGAAAAAGCACAAAACTTTTTATTTACATCTTCTAAAAAGGAAAGCTTTCAAAAGTTTGGACGCTCTCGAAAAGGTAAAAAAAAAGGGCCCAAATTTTGGAGTCATGCTTCACTTTATTTATTTATTACCACACTTTTACTGCATGTTAGCTAATACACAACGGTACACACAGCTAAACTAAACAGAACTAAATTGTCTCTAGCCATACTAGCTAGCCTCCAAGAAAAAAGAAATTAAAACTGTCGAGAAAAAAGAAAAGAAAAGAAAAGAAAAGAAAAGAAAAGGGGAAGAACCAAAGAAGTGTTTGTGTTGCCGTCTGAATTCCACCACAGGAGGGCACCGAGCACGCACGCACTCGTCGATCTCTTGTCAATCTCTACGTACGCTACGCCGTGCACGCAAGCCGGGAATGACACCGCAGCCTGAGCTGCATTCTGCCGTTAAAACCCCAAGACGCCACGCATTTTGGCAGTGCGGATCACGCGCTTGAGCTTAGCTTAGCTTGCACCAACATGTGAATAGATGAGTAGAGATTACACTGTACAAAAACTAGCTAAACACGATGATATTGGTTTGGTAAATATAGAGCTCTTATAATTGATTAATTCTGCACTTATGATGTAGGGTTGGACAATAAATATTGTAATGTATTGGAAATTGAACATGCTTTTTTTTTCCGATGATGATGTCTCTATTCTACAATGGCTCAAGTTATATATTAATTTAGTGAGTCGCTAGAAAGCGCGTGTATAAAAAGTATATTGACAATGTGCACCAATCGCTAGAAGGCACGTGTATAAAAAAGTATATTGAAAATGTGCACCGGTGCGATAGTCGCGACATAGAAAACCGTTTTAAGAAAGAAACAAGTTGGCCTCTTCACCTAGGATCCAAACTCGGGTTGAATGGTCGCGTGTCCGTCATCCCGCTACATCCACCAATGAAAATTCATCCTAGTCCCTAGGAGGAAACCGCGTTCCACTAGGCAAGTGCACGTGTCTCTTGGCGACCGGTGTCGCTTGGAGGCATTCAAAGTCTATTTATGCCTCCGACCGTATAGGATTTAGCTACGTGCGGAGACGGAGAGGACTATCCAATATCGCCCAATCATCATCCAGAATAGCATTCAAATGATATTTTCCCGTGATCCATTTATGTCCATAATTTTACAAGTATAAGGAGAATCTAACATCGTCTGCTCAGCTAACAGTGGCGGATCTATGATATGACATGGGGTACAGTTGTACCCCTAAATCTTTTAACAATCTATTGTGATTTAACAAGTAAAATATTGTCTAATAGTTCAAAACACCCATTCTTAAGCACAAAATCATGCTTTCCAATAGTATTATAAAATTTTTCTTAGCTATTTTGTTATTAATATAATAATCATTTTTATTTGCACTACTAACCCATGTTAACACTTCATTTTTTTTCTCACTGGACGATGCTTTGGTAGGTCTGTACCCCCATCATCGAAATCCTGCGTCCGCCACTGTCAGCTAACACTTTTTCATACCTTTCACATAATATTAAGCTCATAAAAAAACCACTCCATTTTTTTAAAAAAAAAACTTAGGCACCAGAATAGATCACCAAAAACCAGAGTTCAAAATACGTATTTTCACTGTCAGCTAACACTTTTTCATACCTTTCACATAATATTAAGCTCATAAAAAAACCACTCTATTTTTTTTAAAAAAAAAAACTTAGGCACCAGAATAGGTCACCAAGAACCAGAGTTCAAAATATTTTTAGACCAGGTAAATATAAAATAGGTCCGGGTAAATAAAATAGCCCTGCATGTGTGTGCAGGGAACCAGAAGAGGAGAAAACACTGCCAGGGGCAAAACCGTAATTTTGTGGGGGCAGATCTCTCTCCCTCCTCCGCCTACAAATACGCAGGCGCTCCCCATCTCCGGCTTCCTCCCTCTCCCTCTTGCTCTCCTCCACACGGCGCCCTCACGCGCGCCACCTGTCTCTCTCTCTCTCTCTCTCTCTCTCTCTCTCCTCGCCGCTCGCTCGCTCGCTCGCTCGCGTGGGGAGGAGTCGCTAGGGCTTCGACCTCCGCATTCCGATCTCGCGCCGCGTCGCTGCCGATCGGCGGGGTTTGGTGTTTGGTGTTTTGGGGATGGTGTCGGGTGGGCGCGTGGGGGGTGGAGAAGGGGAGGCGGGGGAGGCGGCGGAGGTGGCGGTGGCGATGGTGGATAATGAGGAGGAGATGGCGCAGGCGCAGGCGCCACCCGCGGCGGCGGTGGCGGCGAGGGAGCTGGTGGTGGGGTACGCGCTGACGTCGAAGAAGGCCAAGAGCTTCCTCCAGCCCAAGCTCCGCGGACTCGCCAGGTAGGTACTAGCAGATTTGTTCGCTTCACGTTTCCGTCTTGGGATGATGATGATGAGGAGGAGGAGGAGGAGGAATTTGGGTGGGAAGAAGGCGCTTCTTGTTTGGGATATTTTTGTGTGTGTGTGTGTGGGTGCATTGGGGGAGGGAGGGAGGAGGCGTTTGGTGTGGCTGTCCTTTCTGTTTGTTTGTTTGTTTGAAACTTTGAATTGGATGGAATCCTCTCCATTTTTCCCCTTTGGATTCGAGAGATCAGAGCTGATTCTGGATCCTTCTTGCTGGCTGTATTGTGAGGAGGAAGAGGAGAGGTTTGCCGAGCGTAGTAGTAAATAGTTCGTTCGCTGTCGCTGATACCTCGTTCATTGACCTCTGTGCTGTGCTTGACTTGAGTAGATTCTGACACATATTGTCCTCCTCTCTCTTTTTTTTTCTCTCTAGTTAGTGATGAAAATGACTTACTTACTTTCCACTGTTTCTGCACTATTGTTTGTGAGCTAAAGATTAGCATGGGTGTTGTGCCAAATTAAAAATGGGTGTCACTTTGCGGTTTTAAAAGGTCTTAAAAGTGGGAGGAAAGGTGGGGGCTTTTCTTTGCGAAAATTAGATAGTGCAAAAGATGGTGAAAGGTGTGGCCTTTTCGGCATTGGAACGTCTGACTGAATATCTCCTTGTGATATGATCTGATCCATCATTTCTCGTGTGAAGGTGGGAGGCGTTGTTGCCAACGTTTCCAATAACGATCGAGCAATTTTTAGAGAATCATAGAACATATATATTCAATGGAAGGGAAGGAATTGGAGTTGCTTAGTTTTCTAGAATCACCCCCTGCACTGACTGACTTAATTACTTAAATAATAGCAGGTCCATATCATTCAAGCACACCTTTGTATTGCACCTATTTTCTTTTGGGATAAGAAAGTGACATCGATGCATTCCCTACTGTGTGGTAGTATTATATTCGCTCCCGATAGGAACCCTCTCTTAACTTATCTAGTAATTTAGTCATATTCCTGAACTTATCCTGCAAGTGTAGAAGTAACATGCACATTCTTTATCTTGAAATTTCTCAAAACCTTGCTGTGCATGATTATGTACTTGTGTGTTTTGTTTGACTGCTTTCATTATTGACTGTGGGACCATGCTTTGGGATCGAGTGTACATAGAGATCCATTAGTCCATCAATTTTACATGCATGATTATTATGGCAATGCAAATTTTTTTTACCTACAATTTGTGTAATCTTCTGGATGCAATTTTTTTTTATGTCTGGAGTTTCACCTTACAGTTTCATAATACATTTTTGCACACGCATCACTAGGACCAGGACAGGGCGTGGAATGACGGCCTGGCAGGCACGATAAGATTGTGGAATAATTTAGGACCCACACAATAAACATTTGCATTGTCTTTTGTGCTTGATGTGGTCCACATGCATCTTGCAAATCAAGTACCATATCTCCATCCAGTCTGAGAAAGATGGTGCTTGATTAAAGCTATTCCTTTATTACCTGATTAGATTTTTATCTTTGATGCCACCTGGTGATTACTATTGTCTTTATGTCGTGACATTTCCATACAAGGCATGGATTAAGAACAACCTACCCTTAGTTCCTTGTACCCCTATAGTCACCAGGAAATTTGGATTTGCCCCATTCTCCCACCATGTGCATGCCAGGTCTCTAGTTTGCACAAGGATACCTTGCAATTGTTTGAACATATGTTGTGTGTGCCTGTGTCCATTATCTGTTCTTTTTAGCTAAACAATGAATTGGAAGTTTGAATATGTCCGTATTCTTTTTTTAGAGAATATGCAGGACTGCCTATCTTTGCATTAAGGAAGAAGGATGTGTTCGTATTCAAATTGTTCATTCTTTTTTATATAGAAACAAATGCCCTGCAATGTCCACCTACATGATCTACTTAGATGAGGTTTATCAGTTTCATCTACTTCTCCTTATACTTTGTAGACATTTATTTCAAGCTCTTATGCCTATTAAAATTGTATGGAACCTTGAAAACAAGACTTCAAGAGGTTGAGAACTTAATAGCATGCAACTATTGCAGATAGGAACAATGATCTTAAATTGATTTGAATTATGAATAGCATGTTGTCAATGAGATGTTGAAGCTATATGTTGACTAGCTGCCAATTTCTCCTATTTGCAACTGTCGCAGACCTACTTATTTTACGTTTTGTTTGTGGACTATATTTTGCATGTTTATCTGTATTATCGGCAATTCGATATCTAAGCCTTCTGAAACATATTTGCAGGAAGAAAGGGATCCTTTTTGTTGCTATTGATCAAAAACGTCCACTGTCAGATCAAGGACCTTTTGACATTGTTCTGCATAAGGTTTGATAATATTCGATGTATTTAATACCTTGATGTATTATATGTCTGGATGCTGTTAAGTACTTGGAAAATAGGTTGCTTTTCTTAGCTTGTCTTTCATTTCATTGAAAACTGAACGATAACCTTGTATTCTCTACAGTTGACAGGAAGGGAGTGGCAACAATTATTGGAGGTCAGTAATCCAAAACATGTTAAAATCACTGTCAGACTTCTTTTTATGGGAATTTACATATTATCTGTTCCTTACTAATCTTTTATTGACTATGCCTCATTTGGTAGGAATATAGGGAGGAACACCCAGAAGTTACTGTTCTTGACCCACCAGGTGCCATAGAACATCTGCTTAATCGTCAATCTATGCTTCAAGAGGTTTCTGAATTGGACCTCTCAGATTGTCATGGTAATTTCTATAAATGGCTTCTTGGTTCTGGTTTGGAAGAAAACAATATGCTATATAAAACAAAATAATTTGCAATATTAAGTGGACAACTGCAGTTTTTTTACACGATTAGAATAAGTTCAAAGCAACCGGCATTAGTTTTTCCTTGATTAGAAACATACCATGAAAAGAAGGGGGTAGACTACCTTTGCTATGATAATGCAACAGTTTGTTTGGCTCTACTGGTTAAAAATAAAGTTAACTTGGGAATAGTCTCATATGGAGTCTTTACATGTTTGTCTAATTAGGTATGGATGAAGCATTTGATGTTCTATGTGACTGTCATCTGTAGTATAAAGCATTGATTTCTCTTCTGTTTTTTGTATCCTTGGTGGACTAGTACCTTTTAATTCTTTTGTTACATGAACTGGCATAGTTCTCACTGCTGGGCCCTTTGGATTGGAGTAGTATTATGTATATAACATTTTTTTCCAGTAGCAGACATTGTTCTAATTGTTAGACTTCATGTCTTTACACATTTAAATATATTAAACCTTGTTATTTGCTTCCATCTCAGATTTCCTCCATTGTTTGGGAGACTTGATATGGAGAATTTGGTTCTTAGAACCATCCCAAAGGCTGATTTCCTCATTATGGTGCAGTTGCTTTTTGCAGGTAGAGTCGGTGTTCCTAAGCAGCTGTTTGTTAATACAGATCCATCATCAATACCAGCTGCTGTTATGAGGGCTGGTCTATCTCTTCCATTAGGTGAGTTTGCTTATCTGTTGATTCACAATTATTGTTTCCTCTTACGCATGCTCATAATAATTATTGGTTTGTTCCTGAGTTGTATTTAACAGCTTTACATTTTTAAGTTACAATTTGACGTTCTATGCAGATAGGAGCAAAACATTATAGTTAGTTGCAATCATTTTTTTGTAGTCATCATAAGTGGTATGGTCTCTCACTCAGCATGATACGGGACTATGTTTACTTCAAAAGAAAATCTCACCAAAACCATAACTCGCTGATGAATATGTATGTTTCTTCTCTCTTTCCTTCCTAGATTCTTGAACATGCTGGAGCAAGTTTGTAACTTCTACCATCATTTTGCTTCCATTTGTTATCTGGTTTATGTAGTATGTATATCAGATGGGTAGGAAGCTGGTGAGAGATCAGCATATTATATACAATGGAAATCTGTATGGTGAACTATATAGACAAAACTAGGAAGATTCAACAAAAATCTTCAAATAATTTGAACATAGTGAGGAAGGAAGATTAAGGTCTGTGTGTAACAAAGTTTCCATTGTTCTGCTTGTGTATTCTCATTTAAAGGTCTTACTAGAATCTTATGTACGTGGTACAACGCTGGCACTTGGTTCTGGATGAGATAGAGTCATCAACATCTCCATTGTATAAAAATGGGAAATGGTGACATAGAGTTTAATAAAATCTACGCATACTATGTTCAACTAATTACATTTGCTGAATTATGTTTTGGGGTTCCTAGCTGTTATTGTTGTCCATTTGTTAACTACATATATTATATGCAGTGGCAAAGCCTCTGGTGGCAAAATCCCATGAGTTATCTCTTGCTTATGATCCAATCTCCTTGACGAAGCTTGAGCCTCCGCTTGTTCTTCAGGAATTTGTAAACCATGGTAAGTTTCTTTGAGTTATTTTCCCCCCTCTGTTTCTATTCACTATTCCCAATCAATCCCAGATTAACTTGGTTTTCTCGTTTGTAGGTGGTGTCTTGTTTAAGGTCTACATTGTTGGGGATGCGATACGGGTTGTGCGTAGGTTTTCGCTTCCCAACGTTGATGTAGGTGATTTATCAAACAATGCTGGAGTATTTCGGTTTCCAAGGGTCTCTTGTGCTTCAGCCAACGCAGATGATGCAGATCTGGACCCCCATGTTGCTGGTAAACTTCCATACATTGGTTTCCATAGCTTTACGCTTATTGATGTCATTCATTGTTGGTTCTAGAAAATAGTATTGCCAACTAATGTTCTTCCATATTCCCTCAGAACTTCCTCCAAGACCACTTCTCGAGATATTGGCAAGAGAGCTGCGCCGACGATTGGTACTAATGATCCTTTGACTTGTGTGTTATTATGCTTAATTAATGTCATGTTGATTAACCCTTTTACCTAACTTACAGGGTCTTAGATTGTTTAACATTGATATGATTAGAGAGCATGGGACAAGAGATCGGTTCTATGTCATAGACATGAACTATTTTCCTGGTATGTGATCTAATATGTTTCAAGTATGTCTAATTTATCCCCGCAAAAAAAAGTATGTCTAATTTATCTTCTCATTATTTTCAGCTAACTTGACCCGGCAAAAAAATTTCAGCTAACTTAATGTTTATGGGTTTGAATTAGCAAACGATTTCCCTCCTATATCGTCGAAAATTTCTTTTTTGTTATGCTGCTAGGTAAAAGTCTAAATTAATACACTACTGTAGAAGTTGTGGCACCCACTTGAAATGTCCTCTCTTCCGTATGGCAGCTCTCAATAAAATCGGGAAACAACATGATGGCAGTCGATTATTATACTGAACTCTTTACAGAAGTGGCCTTCCTTTGCTAAATGGATAGTTCTTATCTCAATTGTGAAAGATGCTCATCACCTCTTATCCTGCAGGGTATGGTAAAATGCCTGGATATGAACATGTATTCACCGACTTTCTGCTGAGTCTAGTTCAAAAGGAGTACAAACGACGACCAAGCTATAGCTCATGCGAGGGGTGAAACGACGAGCCCTTCACCGTGTCAGTGTGTCTCGAATTCGCTGTGTGTGTAGTACAAATGTGAATGCAAGAAGGCAAGAGCAAATCCTCCGTGGTAAAGTTGGGCATCAGTAGTTGCGATAAAGCAGCGATGACTGTGTCAAGCTGTAAATTATTAGCTCCCGTTTGCTAACTTCTCTTGTTCTCAAATAATTTTGCTCGGCTAATTAATGAAGTTAAGATGTTACCTGCTACAAATGTGCGAAAGGAGTGCCTTTTTTTGCTTGGTACCATCACAAATATCAGCTGTGGAAAAATCGTGATGTCTGGTGAAATCCTGGTGGCTTCAGTTGATGATAAATCTGGAACACCTTTGAAATGCTCGAAGTCCACTGTAAGATACAGGAGTCCCAACTCTGCTAAGGCCATTCACAGTGTGTCACCATTATTTACGAAGAACCTCATAACCTCCACACTCCACAGTGCAAGTACTAGTAGTGGGTCCCACTGGTACATCTTTTTACTTTCATCTTCCAATCTCTCTTTCTTTTCTCAAGCTGTTCTCTCTCAACTCTCAAGTACTACTCTCTCAAGTGAGCTCTCTCCCGAGGCTCCAAGCGGTGGCGGAAGGCGGCGGCAACGTCGAGCGGCGCACGGCGCCCTCCCGTCCTCTGTCCACAACGGTGGCGCGGGGCAGATCGAGCGGCGGCGGTGCTGGGCAGATGTGGCGGCGGCGCTGGGCGAAGCCGCGCGCTCTGGCTCCTCTTCCTCTGTCGCGACCCGAGCCCGACCGGAGCGGCAGCTGGGTAGCCAGATCCAGGTTGGGCTCGCCGGATCTAGCCGTGGACGGCGACGGCGGGCTCGTCAGCTTACCACGGCGATGGCGGGCTAGGCGGCTCGTCGGCAAGGAGGCGACGACGGCAGCGGGAAGGAGGGCGTTGCCACTCGCTCCACAACGCGGTCTCCCAACCTCACGCGTCCTTTTTTTTCGCCCAAGAACCGGTGGCAAACATTGGACACAACTTCATTTTGGTGGGCCCGGAAGTAAACGTGGCGTGTGGCTTTCTCCTTTGCCAACGTGGGAGGGAGAGGCTGAACGCAAGCCCAAACGCACTAAGAGTTCGTAGTACTTCCACTACTGTAGTTTGACAGTTCTTACAACCCCTCCTAACAGAAAGGATCCTCTGCCTTTTGGTACTAAAGGCAGAGAAGTGCAGTAAAGTCTTGTGTTACAGTACAAAACAATGATGTGCAGTTGTTTGCTGTAGCAACAGTATAAAAACAGTGAAAAAATGCTGTGCATTTCGCACTGTTCACGTATCGTTGTAGCGTACTGTAGCAATTGATCTTATCCGTTCACTGTAAATAGGACGGCTAGAAATATCATTAAATTATGGTACTGTGCTTATCTGACTTGAGGATCTCATTCCCTCCCAACGCACACATTGCTGACACTGATCCAACTTAGATCCAATTTGGCACGATCCTAGACCCGTATATTTGGAGTTTATAAGTTAAAATAAAGTGGTTTAAAATTTTATATTTTATCTAAACTATAAATAATGCTTTGTACATGTTACCAATATAAACACGGCTACATTTAAGCCAACCAGGCCATCCATTCGTTTAGAAGGATATTTTGTTTGAGCTCTAAATCTAAAGTCCTTGTTCGAAGGAGATAGAGTTGAACCAAACACCAAATGATCAAAAAAAAAATGAGTGAGGCAGGTTCAAGAGTGGAGCTAAAAGGAATGGAAAAGGTGTTTCACCTTGTCCCTGTTCCACAACTCTGCTCAACTCTCACATTGTAAGTTTTATCAAACGCTTTTCCAGCATAGATATTCCAATTTCAGAGCCCTACCAAACACTCCCTAACTTCAATACCACATGTTATCCGTCGACCACCTGTAATGTACGAGCCATTACTAAACAAAACGTGCAAATATGAAACATACAATTCTGCAAATATGAAAATATACAACGTTAAGAGGAACATTGGGGCAGCACATAAAGTTGGATATACAGTTATATATTCCAATTTTTCAAAGTACACAAATTTGCAAGGTAAAGCAAGTTGATCCACGAGCTCGATGCCCATGCTACGAATCTGTGTCATGCACATCATCCGTGGTGGTAAAGTGAGACAGGGAGAGACTTCGGGTAATCTGCACAGTTAGTTCCCCCCCTTAAACCATTCAAGGAGCTTTCTCCGGATTAATCAAGCAGCTACTTGGCCTAAGTATAAGCATATAACGAAGCTACACACATCATCAGAGCGAATGGTAGATTACAAATGGAATCAAACAAGACACGGAACAATATATACTAGCAGAGTTGTCACATCTCGTCGGCATGTTCCTGAATCGACCCAGTCACTTCCTTCACGGCGTCACAGAGTTCTTGGTTAGAATCCTGTGCATCCTGCGCAGGGTCTTCCATGATCATTTCGATTGGAGCCCCTCCATTCCTGGAAGAACTGGAGTTGTCCATGTTGGTGGTGCCTTGGGAGTAGGCGTCCAGAAGGTGCTTGTGGATCTCCTCCATCCTCCCGGATTGTTCATCGTCTCTGTCCATCTCTATCAGATCCTGCAGAAACCAAAGCTTAAGTTCAAACTTCGGTGCTCCGTTGGAACGCTGGAATTTTACAGGATTTTCACAGGAATTGGTTCAACTTCTATAAAATCCCCATAAGATGCCTCCATTTCAAAGGAGAGGATCTGCCTGAAAATGTTTTTCATACTAACCTGGGCAGAAAAGGAGTTGAATATGCTTGAAAACCGGTGTCTGCAATACTGATGGAAGAGGACTGTCCCGATGATTAGTAGGACGGTGAACCCTGAAGATATAGTAGCGTGCTTTATGGTGAACACTCCAAGAGCTATGGTCTGTGTCAAAACCAGGGCGAAAACCAAGGTGCTGTGCATGATTGGCCACAGTTTCCCTCCCATTTCGTACTTTGGGTAGTAGACATTTAGGATCTGCAAAAATGTTCCGATGCTTAACAGATGGACGTATTCAAAAACAACTGATGTTAATATATTGATTTGATCTTAATAATCTTTGATTGATAACTTGATAAATCAAGTAAACAAGTTCACAGGTTGAGTCAAGAAGGAAGTGTGTTCACCTGATTGCGATACACTAGGTAGCCGAGGCAAAAGTAGACTAGCAAGAAGGGCAGTATGAGAGGTGCCATTATCGAAAATGTGAAGCCAAGCAGGTTGAACAGGAGGACTTTCGGGACTTCAGTATGGTAAGGGAAAGAGTAGCCATATTCTGGATCATCCCGGTAGCAAAATATACATTTTCTGAAGAAGTTATATACTAAGTTGTACACTTGCAATATCTCGGAGCATAGACTTGCCCATCCTGATGTGAGGACATAAGTGATGAAGAAAGTTGCCTGTAAAAGTGGAGAATAATCCATTTAAAAGCAACATATGAAAAAGGGGAATGGAATGTGCTATGGTGATTTATTTCTAGCTGTGAGATAAAAATGAAAATGATGGCATTTCGGCGGTAAAGAAATATCATCACCTGCTTTGGTACAAGTTCGGCAAGCATAGATGGCATATCCCTTGGTCTAGTGAAGACATTTAGCTGATTTAGCACGGATCCTGACAGGACATTGACAAAGAAGACGTTCCAGATGGTAAAGAACAAAATTTTGCAGCAAGCACTTTTTTTCCTGCCACTGCGAGAAATCGATCCTTCTATGGAAGAGAAGAACATCATCAATGGAGGAACTGTGTACAGGGACAGCAGCAGAACGACGCTAGGGAGGTATCCCGTTACAAGTTTGACAAAAAAGGGCCTAAACAAGATGATCAAACAGAAGCTGTCATTGTCAAAACATTAAATCCGAACAGATAATCTAGTGGTGATCTCAGAAAGTCTGAACTTACTTCTTCAACATGTTTTTCAGGCTTGGAAATAGCTGCTCAATCTGATCCAGTTGCATCATGCTTTGGACGAATGCAACGGGGACAATAAAAACAAACATGAAGGCAACACTAGCTGCAAGTGTTGCTATTTTCCGGAGCCAGATCTGTCTATAGGGGATCCAGAGGTTTGACCAATAGACATCCCTTGGCTCAGGAGCAAAATCTGTCACCCATAGCATAGGATTTGAAGATTGAAGAATTCGTGAAGCAACAATTGCCGCATAGCGAGTCTTGAAGAATACTATAGCACCTGGACAATCCTGTTCAGTAATACGACAAGAATTATATATGCTGATGCACCTAAACCTGAGTTACAATGCAACCTTACACATGCATATTACTGAGTGACTATGGTGAGGAGGGATATCATGTAATGTACTAGTTAAAAGCAGTAGTTTAACCCAAATGGCAATGATATCAGGAGGGAGAAGACCTTCTGAGCTTCAATTACTTCTGGATCACTTAGGTCTGGCTTCTTGGAATTGATGAATTTATTGCGATATTGCTGAAACGACGAAGCCCGTACTCCACAAAGACCACATCTGGACAAGTCAGACCTTCTACTCTGTCCAAATGAAGACATCTTAACTCTTACAAATTTCCTATATACCCTCTCTGCATTATCCTGAAGAAACAAACTTATATGCCTGAGGAGGTGATTCGAGGTACCATATGGACTTATTTCATGTGTTTCTGAAACAGAAACAGAAGCCAGAATTTGAACTTCAACTATGAATAGTTAGTCTGCTTGCTTCCGTAAGAATATCAGATTGTAGTAGCTAAATCAATTGTTAGAAAATATAGTTTGAATTCCAGCAATATTTGAGGACAACAAAATCTCTACTGCTGAAACGAATTCTTACCACAAATTTCTGCATACTTCCTTTCCGGTAGATCATCTGATGTGACAAGTAACTGGATCCATGATAATTAACAAAGAAATTTCTGATAGTGTCATCAAGTAGCTCATTATCTGACTTTGGTATTGATCGAACAATCACAGAAAAATGACCCGGACCAGGTGGTGATCCAGTAATATGCGCCAATCTCTTCCTTGATATATACTTATACTCCTGCAGCATGATAATATACAATAAACTATATCTTATAAAAAAAGAAGACATTATACAATATACAACAAGCTGCCACAAATGGCTACTTGGAATATGAGGAAATTGGAGATAAAACCATTTGGTAAAAAAGAAATGTGTGGAAAGGTCTTACATAGTATAGAAGAATACAAGCTGATATTGTTATAACATATAAGGCAACACAATGCACCCAAAGCCTGTGCAAAGAAAAAAAAAAGACTTTCAGTAATAATAATAAACTAACTAGAATAGGAAATGTTCATATCTTAAAACACTTGAGCAATCAACAACATTGATTTACCAAATGAAATAAGGAGAAGGCCTTTTGTCATAAGTGGATGTTAGTAATTTATCTAATTCGAGAAAGATGCGAGTTTTTAGTCGTGAAATAAAATGTAAAAACTCCAACAGATCAAATGATGTACGTCATGGAAAAATAAATTAAGACCCACTAAGAAATAAAATGTGTTATTGGCAAGGATTCATTAGGGCTAAACACAGCCGGGAAGATAGCCTGGTGGCGTCAACTTGATTGAGGTGAGATGAGATTATAGGTTGGGGAAGAGAATTTGAGGGAAATTACACTAATTCTTCTTCATCATTGCTTAATTCTAAAAGACTAGCCGGATACCATCTTATATTTTAAGCAACAAACTCTAACGACTGTAAAATACTTTGTAGGTACTGTTCACGCAACCTAAAGAGGGCGCCTACAACCTGAAAAGGGTGCCTATGGGAAGAGGATCCTCTAACATGAACTTCCCTCTAACATGGTCACTGACAGGTGGGCCCACAAGCAGTGGGGCCCACATGTCAATCCCCGCATTCCTCTAACTTCACATTATAGGATCCCACTCCCTACCATTGAGGCTACTTGACCTGGTCATGGCCCTAAGCCTCCTGGCCCAACACCCGTAACAAATGTTGCTGATGATCTTAAAAAAAAAAAAGATAAGTTGATTTAAAATTTTGATGTTGCCAAAAGAATTTAAACAAAGATAAGAGGGGAAGTATTGTTCGTCGTTTGTCCAATACTATTGATGCTACCAGCAGTGGTTCAAATGCTTTCCGTCATCCCTGAGGATGTTAATGTTGGACGAGCTTAATCTGTACTAGTGATACTAAATAATAAATAAATGGGAACTCCTGATACTGCAAAACATGGTGGCTCCTATTCTTTCTACAGTTAAAAGATGAACTTGTAAAATACTTATAGAGTATATTTTCATGGTTTAAGAACTATAAAAATATATTATTGAGAAATAAGGGGCTCATTTGTTGCCTACAAAATTGAAGCCTTATTCTTTTTTCTTACTTTGTAGCATGCAATCGTCCAAAATTTTCAGCTAATATTATTCTTTTGCGTGTATCCAACTTCAGGTGAACATGATATATTAGGAAATTGTTTCAAGATTCAGGTGAACCGAGATCTTACATTCGTGATCCTTCTTTGAGATTTGCAATTGTGAATACATTGAGAGACTCTGCTGGAATACGTCCGTGATTCGTTTCTTTCCCATGGTAATTAACAGGAAGCACTCCAAATATGCAAACAAGAGAAGTTATCGAGAAGATACGTATGCTGCAGAAGAAACAATGTACCAACTGTTAAATTGTCGACCTAAAAACAGTTATACTTCCCAGTACCAAAAGGTATATGGTTTTGTCATTTTATTAGAACTATGTATCAAGATATGTCCACAATAAAAAAGATGATCCTATCAAACGATGTAAATCATGATTAAATATATTAATTCCTGCCGTGGAAAATGGAGCCTAAATCAGAATGGAGAAAAACCTGAAGATGAAGAGGCGGAGGAACACCACGGAATCCAAGCCAGCAACCCGTCGTATCTCCTCTTCCGTGCACCAGTACGCTTTCACTATCCATCCAGCGGTAGGCAAGAGCCTCTCAAGCGAGAAGTAGTCGACCTGCTGCCGGAACTTCTCCTCGGCGAGCCGCCTCCCGAAGTAGACGCCATAGTTGTGAGGCTGCTTCCTAAGGACTGAATAGAGTGACAGGAAGAGCGCACAGAGGCCGATGTTTATGCCTGCCGAAGTCAGAAGGGCAGAAAATTCCATCCCCCGGCTCTACCGATTGGCGATCCTGACCATCTACCCATGAAAGAGCTGCAAATTTTCACAAGCCAAGAAATGCAGAATGTTTTAATAATCACCACTTCACTAAAGACAATAAATGCAGAATGCTTGCAGTAACGAAAAGGAGAAGAATCGTATTGCATTCAACTGTGCTAATCACTGGCTTGAGTCATGAAACCAATTAAGCTACACAATTCAGGTTGCTGGCCATTTCACCATCAAGTCACTGGATCTCACATTGGCACAACTGCACTCTCCTAGGTCCCTAGGCCCTAGCACCACAACGATTAAAGCTTAATTTTCATTCTGTTATCCTCAAACAAAAGGAGACTTTTCACTTTTCAGAAAACACTTGGATTGCAGCATATTATTAATATGTCTTCTCATTTTGAAGCTAATAGCTACTGCCAAAAAGGCATTTGCTGACTACTTTTTTTCTACAGATAAAAATGTGTTGGCTACGTGAGATGTTGATGACCGCTTAAAAAAATCGGTGATGTGTGCGCGCGCACGAGAGAGATCGATAAGAAGAAAGTGTGCAAGTGTGCTTTTCGATGTACAGCAAATGCGGTAAAGCAATGGCGTTGATGCCCTAGCCCTAGCCCCGTGAACAAACTCCACGTTTTGCATTTGGATCGTTCATTCATGGGGCTACGCCACAAGGGTTGCCGGGCAATTCGATCCTCCGCCGCTCAACCGGGGCGATCAGCGAAATCCCCCGCATACCCAGCCCCCGCCGCATGCGGAGGCGGACGCCCTGCATTGCGATCTCCGACGATCGATATCCATGTCCCTCTCGGCCCCCCCATTCCCCGATCTCTCCGTGGGCTAGCTAGGGCATCAACGCCATCTCCGAATCAATCCTCTCCCGGCGGCTAAGGCTAAGAGAAATGTACGACGCGCGTACCTTGGAATCGATGCGGCGGCGGCGGTCGACGATCGGTCGTCCGGCCGGTCGGTCGCCGGGCGTGCGCCGGATGGAGGAGGAGGTTGGCCGCGGCGGCGGCGCGGGGGAGGGGGAGAGGCTGCCGGGGTTGTCTCCGACGCCGCACGAAGCGACCGTGTGCGCAAGCGCTCGCCGAATCGATCGCCCGCCCGCCCGCCCGTGCGGTGGTGGTGGTGATGGTGGAGGCGGTGATCGAGTCGGTGACCCGTGGCCTGATGGGTTGCATGCAGTTGCCGCCCTAGATGGGCCTCTAGGCGGCCTGTTTCACTGATGGGCCGTCTCCCCATCACCAGCCCAATAAAAAAACTCATGCCGGAAGTATTTTGGAAAAAGTCCACTTTGACTCCCTTAATTGTACGTCGAATCTAATTCATACCCCTCAACCAGAAAACCGGATAGGACTACTCCCTGAACTATTGAAACCAGTGTAATTTGACTCCCTCAGTGGTTTTGAAGGGCGGTTTTGCTGACGTGGCGGTGTTGACCCGTTCTTCGTCCCACGTGGCGCTTATGAGGCATTAGAATTAAAAAAATATCCGTGGGACCCATCTATCATTCACACACAAAAATATATTATGGTACCCACTGACATGTCGGGCCCACATGTCATCCTCTCTCTCCAACCCTTCTTCTCCGGAGCGGCGGCGGCGACGGAAGCGGAGGGGCGAAGGCTGGAGCGGCGGCGGCAGGGAGCGCGGGAGTTGGAGTTGCTTCGGTCCTTCGTTCTCGGCTAGCTTCACCACAGCGCCGCAGCGGGACAACAACGAGAGCAGCGGCGGTGGGGTGCGAGACAACCACGGCGAGCGGCGGCAGCGGCTGGGAGCGCATGAGCTAGAGTCTCTCTTTTCTCTCCCCTAATCCACCGATTGCTGTCGCTGCCAACAAATCCATGGCCGCCCCATCTCCCCCCGCCATGAAATCCAAACCGGACCACCACCTCCTGATGACGTGAAACCGATGGTGGCGGTTGTGCCGACTCCCACCGTTCATGGAGATCCTCAAGTCGTCACTGCCATTGCCCTTCTGCCCGTTGCGGGAATACGAGCCAGTGACGATGCTCTTGTGACTGTGCGCGACAGTCCTCCTCCTCGCCTGCTCCGTCGCCCCCACACTCCTACTTTCGACTCTACTGCCACTCCCCTCATCGGCCACCTCCTCACCCCTCACCAGTGTCCCCACTGCGCCTGACCACCGCCGCCGCCATCACCATCAACCACCGGGCCCGTTTTCTCTTCTATCATCGGCGAGATCCCGCTCCCGTTCCCACTCGCTCCATGCCGCCGACTCCCTCCAGCCAGGAATCCGAGACTACCCAGGCCCGGACCGCACACCATGGTTGGCGGACAACAACACGGGCATGATGGTGATGGTCGTGAACGCGTGGCAGCGGCGGCGGTAGAGTCCGTGAGGGAGCCGCTTGACCCGCCGACCGAGGAGGACGGATGTTCCAGCTGGTGTAGTTTGCCAGAGGCGCGTCGGAGATCCCGCCGCGCGGAGACGCGTCGCTGCAGACCTGCGGCTCGAAGGAAGAGAGATAAGGGAGAGAGAGGAGAGGAGGAAAAAGGGTTGGAGAGGGAGGATGACATGTGGGCCCCACATGTCTGTGGGTCCCACAATATATTTTTGTGTGCGAATGACAGATGGGTCCCACATATCCCTTCTTTCTAGAAAGTTAAGACCATTAGCTGTGCTTAGAAGAAGCCACGTCATCGATTTCTTTTCTCACCATAAGATTGATTATTGATGACACAGATTGCCATCTCATCACCTTGCCCCTATCCATTTCCTCTCCTTTCCGTTTCCGCTTGAGAAATTACATGGAAAAATAACACAATTAATTAGGCCACAAGGAGCTTTAACGAGTCTATTAGCATCCCTTCATGAGCCTCTTAACATCCCTTCAGCATTTATAACAGATCACAAATACCTTCCACCATCCTCTAAACTCATGATTACAAAGTAAATATGCAACATTTTGTTAGGATTAAATAACTAGATGACTATTTCTTTTGGAGAATAACGAAGACGCTGCAATTCAGTTCGTAATGTTGCATGCCCTATTTTATTTTTCGACTATATTGGTTCGGCTGAAGTTTTACTTACAAGTGTTTGCTCAATATTTTGTAAGTATCAACCATCATATCATTCTCTCTCTTTTAATATGGTATTTTCATTTCTCCAAAGTATTGATACAAAATCCTGCAGCAATGTGCAGGGTTTCAACTAGTATTTTTTTAATTCTAATGCCACATAAGCACCATGTGGGACGAAGACCGAGTCAACACCGCCACCTCGGCACCACATCAGCAAAACCGCCCTCCAAAACCGCCGAGGGAGTCAAATTGCACTGGTTTTAATAGTTCGGGGAGTTGTCCTATCCGGTTTTCTGGTTGAGGGGTACGAAATAGATTCGGCCTACAATTAAGGGAGTCAAATTAGACTTTTTCCAAGTATTTTCTACATCTAAGTACAGGTGCTATGCATCTTGATGTATATGCATGTAGTTTATGGCTGTGTTCGGCAGCCTTACTTTTAACCTCCTCTCCCTCATGTTTGACAAGGTACATTGCGATAATACAAGACATCACACAAATATACAAATCTAAATTCGATCAACAAGTGAAGAAACAAATATAAAAAATTTTATTTACACTCTAAGGTACTATATACCACTTGATTTTATTATCTTTGTTTCACTGGTTGTAAATCAAAATTAGTCAACCGTATTTATCAGTACACTTATATGATGTTATAAAATTTTAATTGTTTTTCCTAAGTCATATTCAGATAATACTAGGTATCATAACATCTACTCCCGTCCAAAGAGAAACGGGATCTTCTGCGTTTCAGCGTTTCCCACTATGGAGTTTGGACACGGACCAAACAATTTCCTCTCTTTTTCTTTTTTGCCATGTCGACGAGTTGATCGGGTAGGCTTGGGTTGACCGCCATTTTTAGCTTCTAAAGGAGTAGTTTGCTCCTCCTACTGCCGTGATCCCAAATCCTAAAATCCTCTTCTTCCTTTTTTTTTTAACGTTCAGCTTACGTGCACGGTCGCTCTCAAATATGTCACTCACCGATCGATCAATCGATCTCTCAAACATGGATTAGGCCGACACGGTTTCCCGCGCCGACGTGTCGTCCGGTGATCCTAATCCACACGCGACGAACAGAGCGAACCCAACTGAAAAACGTCTTGACCACCTAGCTCCCTACACGTGCCAGCCGTGTGCGTACTCGTACGAACTAAACCAGAAAAAACCGTCAAAACTGTATCGAAATTCGATTGGAGTATTGGATTCCCACTCCTCTCTCTATCTATATCTATACTTATATATAATTTAAAAAATAAGTAAGGATTCCGTAATTTTTTTTATCCATCGTTTTTTTCTTCCGTCACGCCGTTTTTTTCCGGTTTTTCTCACGCCGTTTTGTCCCTTTTTTCGTCCGATTTCTCACGCCGTTTTTTTCTCCGGTTTTTTCCGTCCGAATTTTTTTTCTCGCGCGGGTTTTTTTGGCCTGGTTCTTTTCGCCCGTTTTTTTGCCCGGTTTTTTTTCAGTTTCCAATTTTTTCTTAAGGGTCACAATTTTTTTTGTTGCGGTTTTTTGGTGGGCCTGGTTTTTTCCAACCGTTGTTTCGATCAGTTTTTTCTTGGTGCACACGGAAGTATTGAATCCCAAATAGAGTTACCTGATCTTTGTCTTTACCTATTATAAAAATTTGAAGATGATTCCATACTTTCCTTATTTTTTTTCTGTCATCTGTGTTAGACACGTATAAAACCAAATTGGACCGAAAAAACAACCAACTGGCAACACAACTAAAAAACCAGATCGAACCAAAAAAAATCGTCCACCGGCGACCCGGACAAAAACTACCAGATCGGACCGGAAAAAACTCAGTGACCTAGATCGTAGCAGAAAAACTATGTGTATTATTAAAAGAACATATCAACCATGTGTATTATTAGAAGAAAAACCAGATCAAATGGAAAAAATGAGCGACTCGGATCAGACTTGAAAAAACCATGTGTATTATTAAAAAACCAGATCGGGCAAAAATAACTCGGCAAAAACCATGTGTATTATTAGAAGAAAAAATAGATCGGACCGGAAAAAAAGAGCGACCCAGATTAGACCCGGAGGTCGCCGTTGTCAGTCGCGTTCTGCTGTTCTGGTTTTGTTCGCTGCCAATATCCACCATCAATAGATGAGTCCAATTATGGGACACATCCTACCACAGTCCTCTCCACCGTTTGATCGTCAGACCATCCACGCCCATCTTGAGTATTATTATTATGAGAACATGAGTATATCAATGTTTAATGGTGGTTTTTATCCATCCTAATTATCATTAAAATTTCTAATCAATACTTAGCCTAAGAAATAATTTATCCGTAGGGAAGCACGGGCATTTTGCTAGTGAGAGAAAAATAACGAGGAGAAATTCTATAAAAGCAAGCACGCTAAGTAATCTGACTGATCAAGGTAACCGAACAGGATCAGATATATTTTAATACTATAAATCTGCACATACTATTTATTTGTTATAATTGGCTGTAGCTCGTTTTGGAGCAAAGGCTGGGATGTTATATTTTATTATTAAAAAAAAATTGTTCTCTTTGATACAGCTCCGAATTTAAGATTTTATGAAGCGATTTGAAGATATATCAAACGGGACGGTAGTATCAGAAGATGTCTCGTCCCAACTTAGATCGGAGGGAGTATAGGTCCCCGCACCGGCCAAGTTGCCGGGGGAGTCGACCGGTGCCACGCCTCCGTTGGAATCAACCGCACGCAGACGCAGCGACGCACGGCTGCTCCGCTGCTCGCGTCGCGGAGGCAAATACAAGGGGGGAAACCGTACTGGGGCTCGCGTGAAGCGGTGAAGGTCGGTCACCACCGGCAAGGCAACCCGTGTCTCGCTGAAAAAAACGCCATCATTTCGCGGGTTTCGGTGGAGGAGGGGCGCACGGGCACACGGCGGCTTCCCAGTGCGCAGCCAGGTGGTTGGCCCGCCCGGCCACCGGCACCGCTGGTCTTGGGACTCTCTTGGTGGAGTGGAGGTCTGCAGCTGCTACACTACCCACTACACACGCAATTTAGTACGCAGTGGCTGCTGCCTCTGCCACACTGCCGCTGCCTCCTCTGCTCCAGCTCGCGCACTCACTATACTCTACTACTCGTACACGGATCGATATGATCTGCGTAATGACGCAGTGATGGGGTTTCAGGCGAGCAAAGATGTCACGCAGACGCAGTGCCAGTCATGGCACAGCACACAAACAGTAGTTTATCAGTCTCAAAATAAATTTATTTTTACACATCCCACATATATTTATATAAAAAATACTTTTATTTCATTAAATCACAATACAATTGTTTTTCTATTTAACTATTTCTAATAAATTTATCCTTAATTTTCACAAACTCCGATACAGGAATTGTTTAAAGATTAAATTTATTTTTAGATGAATGAGAGAGACCAACAACATCATCTTTTTGTTTATACAAAAAATTAAAATTTTAACCTTTAATCTGGAGTTCACTTTGGGATTTTTTTTCATCGTAGTTTATTTTTCAACCTTTGTTTTTGATCGTTAAGAACACACATATAAAAGTTGTATTCATAAATTATTTTCCATTTACAAATACTCTATGTCGTTTTGCTTTTCCCTCCAATATACTAAACAATGGGCTGCAAAAATGTTTTCTTGTGGACCGAGGGAGTATAAGCTACTATGATAGCGTGCTGTTGTAGTACTGTATTAATACATGGAGTTTGTCTAAATTTATAATATTAAGATGTGTCACATCCATATAACATATCTTTTATATTTTAGAACATACGGAGTCCTTGGTTAAGAATGAGGTGATGATTTGGTCCATCTAAGACCATAAAACAAAACACGTGAGACCATCTCGGTTTCTTGCATCCTTTTCCCGTGTCTCGTACTACTCTCGTGTGGCAAAATTTTGTCTTAGTTCTTGAAACGTCACACACGCTGATGGCATTGGCACCCCTCCTGCTTCTGACTTGTTAAATCACCGGCCTAACACACCAGTACACCACCAATCTCAGCTTGTACAAGGCTCAACTCCTCCTTTTTTTTTATCAAGTCAGATTTAAGTTCAACTCATGTGGACTAAAATGTGAGAGAGCATGGCACAGCTTTGGTCAAGAGGCGTTGCACCCAACACAAAACCAAGGCTTGGGAGAGGCTGAGGAAGTGGCAAACCGGCAGCTGTGACGACGAGGCCTCCAATGCTCACTGCTCCCAACCTCCAACCACACCATGCCAAAGCCCCAAACCCCAAACACAAGGTCAAGTTTTTCTCCTCCCAAAAAAAAACTAAAAAAATCTTTTTTAAACATGTAAACAAAAATAGAAAATTATAAATTTACCACTGTCTTGAATCGTTATTATAAAACTAACACTAAAAAATTACAAAAATACTAATAGAACAGTCATTCGAATGCCATTCGAATGTTATTCTTATAAAATTAAAAAAATCGGTGAAAAATTTACAAATACCCCTTACAAAAAATGTTACTGTAAAAGTCAGAGAGAAAAAACACACATACACACACCATTTCCTTCCTCAAGCAAGTTTCTTTTCATGTACAATAAATAAACAAAAAGGTTAGTGTAAAAGTCAGAGAAAAAAAATCACATAAAGACACAGAATTTCCTTCCTCCCCCTCCCTCTCCGGAGTCTCCTCCCCCCCCCCCCCCCCCTGTGACTCTGAAGCTGCCTCTCATCTCCTCTCCAATCTCCATCCACATCGCATCCATCATAAATCCCCCACACCCTTCTCCCCAACCAAGCACCTACCACCATTCCCAATCCCCCTCTTCCAATCGCCATATGCAAGAGCCCCAAATCCGCTATTGCATTTGTTTCATTTCATCGGCTGCCGCTCCTGAGAAACAGCAATCTGGATAGGATAGGTGGTCGCCTGTATTTAGATCCGGACTTTTGCTAGTGGGGGGAGAGAGGATTTAGGTGAACGAGCATCTTGATTTTGACCAATCTTTGCCTGTCTCACTGATTGACCCTCCTCCTGTGTGCTTGGTTCTTTAAATCCCGCGTGGTGGGTGTGGGGAAGAGGAGAGGAGGGAGGCAAAGGCACGAGCAAGAACAGCTGCTTCCGTCTTCTTGCTCGCTGGTATTCAAAAGGTGAGCTGTTGTTCTTGCCATGTTCTTTATCAGAGATTTTTGATGTATGTGGGAGCAGATTCTTGAGCTCCTTGAAGTGACCATGGGTTTGGGTTTCTTGGATGTTTATGTGGATGAGGTTGTTGGGTTGCTGGTGTGTGTGTGGCAGGCTCGCGGTCCTTCAGCTGGGGCTGGATGTTTCTTTTCATGGATTTCGCAAGAAATCCCAACATTAGGACTGGTTTATTTGCGGATTGCGTCCTCCAAAAATCGAATCTTTGCTTTGATAATATCGTGTTCGAGGCATATATTAAGCGGCTTTGGTTTTCGCGCTGTTGGCTGATTGGGGAACTCGCCTGTTTTAGGCAGTTTCAAGCAAACTCTGTTACCACATCCTCTTTGGATTATCATTCCTTGGTTATATAGCTTTCTCCTAATACGGTATTTGTGTTCCTTGATTGTTTAGCAATGAGTTTTGAGGTGGTCTGCTAGTTGCCTTATGGAAAATATTGTATTTTTGCCTGTTTTATTAGGATGCTTTGGCCTTGATTTGTGCTGTTTCTTGGGACTGCTAATGTAGCCACGCACAACCTTTTTTCGTTTTGCAGTAGTTGGTTTCCTTTTAAGAAAGTTGTCTTTGTTAGCTGTTTGCCTCACATGCCTTGATTAAATTCTAAAATATTGTACACAATTCCTAGGATTTTTTCCCCTGTATGCATCTTGACTCTTTTTTTCCTTTCAAGATGAATTGTTTTCTTCAATCAAGAAGAGTAAATGGATACATTGTAGTGTTTTTATCAGTATATTTGTCTTTAGATCAAGAAGTGTACTTATTTCTTGTTAATACCTTAATGTAGGAACTATCAAGGTGTTGAGTGGAGATATTGGGGGCAAAGTTTGGATTTTGGAGGTTATTGTTTGCTTTCCATTGGCTAAAAATGTTGAGGCAGAGCTCTAGTAGGAATCACAGGTCCAAAGGTCTGAAGCTGAAGAAGGCTCTTCAGATAACCCTCTTGGTTCTGGTTTCTGTTTGGTTGATATACCAAGTCAAGCATTCATACGAGAAGAAGGCATATCATGAAAATGAGCCCAATGACCTGCATAAAGATGATGATCAAAACCAGGGTGAGATCAGATTAGGCAGGAAGGACCTGCCTACTAAGCTGGAGGCTGACTCATCAACGCTGGATGAACGGATTGAGGATGAAGAGAATGAAGAGATGGAGCAAGAAATGAAGCACGATGAGAATGATGAAGACCCCATTGATGAACCTGACCTGGACAAAGATGATGATCTTCCTGAGCCTGGCGAGCACTCTGCTGATAAGGATGAAAGATCTGAGGATGTGGGTGTGTTTGAGGATGAAGAGCGGAAGGAGCGGTCTCAGGAGGATCAAGAGAAGACCTTTCATGGGGATAATGTATCAAGTGCTGTCAGTCATGACCCTCCGTCAGCAGAGCAAGATGAGCTGCTTCGTCATGCCCAAGACAAAATATTATATGTGGATGATGCTTCGACAGCAGTGCCTCATGACAACCAGGAAGCTGAACGCAGGGAGGAGGAAGCTCGCAAAGCTAGGGAGATGACTTTCAGAGGCGATGATGTGTCAAGTTCCGTAGATCATGATGCCCAAGTGACAAAACCTCTCCCAGAGGAGCAATTGAAGAGCATGGATAGCATATTTGAAGGCACCACAAATTTATCAAACGGAATAACATTTCGAGGCCCAGGAGTGAATGAATCAACTGCTGCTAGGGAGCTTGGGGCTATTCCAGCTGATGCATCTTCCCATCCAAACACTAGCACTGTTTCAGAAAGCAATACTGATACAGCTCCGGTAAATTTGGATGGCAACCATACTGGATCAGATCAAGCTAATTCGACCTCTTTGAAAGGTCAACAAGAGCAGCAAGCAAATTCAACGGATGTGTTGAACAACCAGATAAAACTCTTCATTGACCTCACATCAGCTGCTGAGTTGAATTATCGACCAAATGGGACCCTGGCTTCGGCTTCAACTGATGCTGAAAATGCCACTTCTGTAGATAGAGGCCATGATGGTAATACCGGAACCAATAAGGCTGAGGAAGGAGATACAGGCAAAGACTTAGATTTATCGACAAAAATCATGAACAAGGCCATTAGTGAAGATGAAGTTGTTCTTGAATGATAAGGAGATCTCTCAGGTTAGCTTCTGGTGTAACCTGTAAGTCTGTAGGACCTTAAGAGAAGGAGAAGAAACTAGTCTTCTCTTTCTCAGTAGACTTGGAGATGCAATACAAGTAAACTATCTCTATTGCCCCCCCCCCCCCTTTTGTATAAATTTGATAGAGATATGCTATGTATTGCCTAGCACATCATGCTCTGGGTTGAGTGATGCGCAAAAGGGCTTGTTATGGAAGTAATATATAGCCATTCAGCAGCTCTGAAGCTTTGCTGCTGCAATGATATTTCAACTTGTCTATAGTTCTGTGCTTTATGTCTACAACTTTTTTCTTGTGATATTTGCAAAGTTGTATACTGGCCCTGTTGCTGTTTATTTTTAGAGCCTACCTGTTGGCAGTTAACAAATATACTCCTTCATACATAAGTAAAGGAGTATTGAAAGTGGAAAGATCAACTATGGTGCAGATGGCAGACTCTGCCCATCTTCAGATATTGAAGACTCACTGGACTTGTAGAAAGTAGTACTATAAACTATACAATTCTCTGGAACACAAAATGTGTAGGTACCTAAATTACTGGTGCATTCACTGCAGTTGTTCATCCTTTTTCTTTTTCTTTTTTGCTTTTAAAAAATGAAGTGTATTACTTTCTACACAGCCAATGGCATCGTGCCATCTGACTGAGCAACTCAGAATGCCAGCTCTATCCAACTTGGTTGATGCTATGCTGGGCCTGTAATCTCATTCACTGGTTGTGCTATTTACCTGAAATATATTAAGCTTTTTCATACCTTTCCTAACCTTGTCTTTACAGAGGAGAAAAATGCGTTGTCTTTTATCTTAAAGAACGCGAGGTTGGTTTGTAAATTATGTGCGCGCGCAGCATCCTTTTTGACAATACTTGACAATACACCACGCTAGAACGTACACGTATGTAGCGTTCCCGGTATGGCCCATGGCCGTATGGAACACTGAGCATGTCCTGTGTGATCCTGCCTAACAACAAACGACTCCAAACTGTAAGACAATATTTAAGGCCGGGGCTCCTGGACGTTGCGGTCAAACAACTTGAACCGCTCCTGGTTTTCAATTCAGAGATTTGAATACTGCAGCAGCGTACAGTTTCTCTCTAAACGACCAGCAACGCCGGAGGCTGGAAGTTACTAGTACGTATTACACTTCACTATAATATGACGGCAGGAAATATCAAGTGCGGTAGGTGCAATCACGAGTGAATTTAAGCTGCAGCAATTGCAATCACAATCACAAATTCTGACAGTACCTAAAAAATGCAACAATTGTATATTGACAGAAGGAATGGGCTGGCATATTTACACTGTTCCATACAATAACCATTTGCAGGCTAGCTTAGCCAGGAGCAAGCACAAGAATGAATGGGCATAGCTGCGATTTCTCCCTAGAGAAACTAAATTGCAGGTTAGCCAGGAGCTAACGCATGCATGACAAAAAGACCAGAAGACTCTTACAAGACCAAGAGATAGGGTTTGCAGGTTAGCCAGGAGCTAACACATGCATATGCCATGAAAACTGGAATACACTACGATACTTTGTCGGACGTGCGCTTGCAGGTTAGCGAGGCGCTAACGCGGTGCATATGTGCACTTCACGACCTTATTTCTTTTCTCGTTTAAATTTGGGGGAGGTGAGGTCAATTAGGTGTTGACCTGGATTTCCCCCAGAGAGTATGGACAGTCTGATGGGTTCTTCACTTCTCGCAGAAGTCGAGGAACCCCATGTACTCATGGTTGTTGATCATGCTGATGCTCTTCTGGGTTCCAACAACACCTGAATTTACGAGGAAACAAATGTTAGGAAAGCTGAGAAGAACAGGCAGTACAGACATACATATAGATAAAGGCAAAGCGATGGGCCTATAAAGGCTAATCAAGGAACGGCTTTTGCAGGCCAAACTGGTTTGAACCTGTCAATACTAAAGTGTATTCTGTTTAGATGTTTCTAAGGAAAACGTAGGATCCATGGTAAATGATTTTGTTGGCTGAATTTCAATTAGACTGCATAGCACTTAGTGGTTTGTTATCTAAAAAGGACATTCAGTCAATGTGTTCTGGCCATTACCCATTGTAAGAGCACTCGCGAAGATGACAGAGGATAGGATGAAGACAATCAGAGATGCTCGCTTGAGCACGTGCACGAGTTTCCGGACCAAGGACTGGCCCCAGAATCCAGCCAATATGGAAATGCAGATCAAGTAGACAGCTGCAGGAACAAACAGTTCACATCATTATTGAACGGTTACTTTGGAAATGCTATTTCTAAACAGATATTAGCATCCAGGAATTACCAAAAGGGATTGGGAATCTGTTCAGGAAGTAGAACTCCACTACGGATAGGGATGAGGAGAACATCATCACGAATGTTGCTGTTGCACTTGCAACCTGACAAATAAATGACAATCCCACAAACAGTGAAATAAATGACAAAACAGGAAAAAAGGGGCAAAGAACGCCGAAAATCACATAACATAAATGATTATAAATCACAACATTCTTCTGCATATGAAGAACAAGGCACCGTTTCCTTAGATTTAACTAGTTACATGGGATTCATATCAAATACTGCTATGTTTCTTTTCTGAATGATAATCGAAAGCTTAGGTCCTGCCAATAATAGGGGCACAGTGTAGATGATTGAGGACCAGGCCAGCCAATGCACAATTTAAATAGTTTCAAATATCAGGACACTTTCAAACAATATTTTATCAACCATGCAATTTGGATTATTATTTTTTTTCCTTTTTTGCATCGGATGCCTGTTTTGTAGGGGAAAGATAAAGCAGACATGCCTCCATCATAAATATCCTTTACTAATGTTATGGGAGTCATTAGTCACAGAAATATTCATGGAATGCCTTATTATTTGAAAATTAGTCAGTTTTAGAACTCATAAATGTATAAATCCGTACAGAAATCTTAAACCAGTACAGTGTACCTAATGCTTATCTAGCCTGAAATCAACGTCATAGAATATACTATTGCAAATGAACCTGTCTATATGCAGTTAACTAAAGGTTTCTGACAATCATATAATGATACATAAATAGCTAGTTGGACTCCCTCCTCATGTACACCCTCATGCAAACAGATATATACTAGATAAAGTTAGTAACAAAGTTCTAACAGGCCACTTCAATCCAAAAGTGTCTATGTGCATTTATCAAGGCTACCTAAAGAATTAAAAATGAATATATATGTACGAAGTAACATATATCACAACATACAGTTTTGTCCAGACGGCCAAAATATTTGGCATTACTTGCACATACTGGATGCTGAACTATTTATTTGGCATTCCATAAGCTTTCAATAGTATGAGCAAATTGCGGGAATAGAAGTTGCTCATAATTGCCATTTTGAATTATATATTGCAAGCATATGGTTCTGATGCTAACAGGTTTCATTCAGTATATGCATTTGAAGTGCTGAAAGAATACCGAGTCCAAGTTGTATTGGGATTTTTTTTTCACCTTTTGTAAGGACGTGTGCACACTTATAGAAGCTACATAGACAATGACAAGACCCGTTCTTGTCTCTTCACTGGTCTTGCCTAGATGCAAATGCGTTACAATGATCTATACTAGGATTAGGATGCAGCACGTGGAGCCATGAACCCCCCCCCCCCCCAATGCTTATTTGGCATCCTTATCAGCATGGTACCCCACTCATGCTCATTTTACTTGTTATCCCTCTTGGGAAGGCTAAGCCACGTTCTCTCATGAGTTGCATGTCAGAAACAAGACACTAGCTTAAACACAATCAAATGAAAATTAATTTTCTTAAGTATGATGATCTGAATAACGTTTGAAACTGAACCGCAAGAAATGAAAATAATATAAAATACCTGAGGGATGCACCCAAGCTCAAGGAGAAGTGGACCAAGGATGAACCCACCCCCGGATCCAAGAAGGCCACCAACAGTACCACCAAGCAAACCACAGAAGGCACAGAAGATGAGCTGTGCAGGTGACCACTCAATAGAGGCCTCACAGACACACTCCCAGTTCCCATCCATGCGTCGAGCACGGCTCTCTCTGCACAGCTGTACGCCCTCCCACAGGAATACACTTAACGCAACCGGGACCTGAGTTGATAAATAAACTGGTTAGATATTATCATCTTTCAGTGTGCAAGTGAATGAAAAGTGTAGGCAGAGTGAAGTTTTGAGCTGCTCAAAAAATGGTGGATGGACAAACTAAGCTTAGTAGATCCATGGCGATAATATTTCATAGAATAGAAACACCGCACGAGCTCAAGGTTACTGTGACAACTTGGGACCCAGGAGAATTTAATTGTGGTAGTGAAAAACAGTCAAGCGGATCAAGTGTCACAAGGCAGAATGATGTCTTACCTGAAGAATGTTGATCACCCAGTAGAAAGTGCTGCATGATTGTGAGTTATTCTGCAGGGGGGAAAACATTTAGCAGTTAGTGACAAATTCCAGACCAAAAAAAGAAAGCCAGCAAAAGCTCTATGTGTAAAGGCTGAATCGACACTATAAGAGCAGTGATGGAGGGACCACGTCAGCACACTGAGCCACAAGGCAATAATAACCACTGACAAACAGACTCACACTTGCACATGTGCGCAAGAATTATTGAACCATGAGACCATGAACAATCATTTGTTATTTACTCAATGTGCATTGCTTGTGCTTACTGGATAAACATTGTGTGTCTATCAGTGTTATGTGGAAGGACATTTTGAAATAGACTAGATTGAAAGTGCAAAACTATTCTTGAGTTGAATGTAAAAAAGGATACCTTGAAGATTTGCAGCACCAAGAAAGACGACCATACAGTCATGAGAACTAGGATATTCTTCCACCTCAAATTGAACAAGAAAGTCTCCTGGAATTAAAAATAACATCGAATCAGTGAGCACAGGGCATAGGACAAACTGTACTTTGTTTTATATTGCTTTCTTGCATGTTCATAGTATCTACCAACGCCACCCTAAACCAATCATAGCAATCATTGAACAAGCTTAATTAGTGCCCCTAAGCCAATCAAAGCATACTATATGATCAAGATCGTAGGCAGTGCTATTGCTTAGTAGATCATGAATCGTACTGGCAGATTGGCAAGATATTTGTGGCTTACCAGAGCAGATTTCTCCTTGGGCTGAGGCTGGCATAGGAGGGGCTCTTCACAACTCGGGTCAATAACCACTGCAGAAATTGGATCATATCATGTTTAAAATATGTATGTATATATATATATATATATATATATATATATATATATATATATATATATATATATGACTTTCTGACGCTGTACAAGCGGCTTGGGGCTGTTTCGTACCATCCCTTGCGGCACAGGACGACTTCGATTCCTCTTCTCGCTCCCGCGTCTCCATCTGCAATGGAATAATTCCCCCCAAGAACAAAAAGAAAAAAAAAAGAGATTATCAGGACACAGTAATTAGAAAGCGAACCCAACCAACAAACCAAACAAGACAGATGGCGACCAAAACTAACCTGGATCCTCGTCTCATCCTTCCACATGAGAATTCCCTTGTAAAATGACCGCGAGGAAGTCCCTGCAATCGATCAAGCGCACCAAACACACATCAATCTCAGCGATCTCACAGGGCACGCAAAGGACAGCGCCACAAAAGCGCCAGATCGTGCTTAACAACACATTTGTTAGCTGTACAAACCTATGAAGAGGATTATGATGAGGACGGTGATGAGCCAGTAGGGGAAGATGACGCTGAGCTCGACTCCGATTGTGATCCCGAGCATGAGCATGGGCTGGAAGAGCAGCGCGAGCTTGTAGTCGATGACCGGCGCCTCCTTGGTCGGATGCGACACCTGCAGGTTGTACCAAACCGACGACGCCGACGCCCCCATGATCATGCCTGCGCCGAATTCAAAACCAACTTTCAGAAAAAAAAAAAAAACGAGCCATGTCACCGGTGGAAGGCGAGGCAGGCAGAGCGGCGGGCTTACACTTGGAGAGCGCGGCGGCGGACTTGGTGTCGAAGCCGACGAGGAGGTTGAGCATGGGCACGAATATCCCGCCGCCGCCGACGCCGCCGACGGTGCCGAACGCCGAGCCGAGGAACCCGACGACGGTGGCCACCACCACCCGCCAGTTGAACGCGAGGTCCTGCAACCCCACAGGAGGTCAGCACGCCGAAAGCGCAACCATCACGCGCACGCACGCACGAGAGAAGCGAGCTCGCTTGCTAGCGGCTTACCGGCCAGACGCGCGCCGACCGCGAGGAGAGGCGGAGGCCGCCATTGGCGTCACCGGCGCGCGGCTCGGCGGCGGGGATGACGAAGCAGGCGAGCACCGCGGCGCACGCCGCCCCCGCCGCCACGTATGCGAGGAACCCCCGCGTGCTGCTCCTGTTGAGGCGCCCGTACAAGTCCGCGGCCGCCGCCATATCCAATCCAACCCAAACAAACAAAAAACCCAAAAAAAAAAAAACACTCAACCACACCAGCGCCGCGGCGGCGGCGGCGGAAAATGCGAGGACGAAGAGGAGAGGAGAGGAGCGGGAGCGAGAGGGTGAGGGGGGAAATGGCGTGCGCCCGCGTCCGCGTCCGCGTCGCGGTTTATATAGGCAGGGAGGAGGGAAAAAGGAAGGGGAGAGGAATCGTGGGAGATGCGATGCGGATGAGATCGGCGCGGCGGGGGAGGGGAGGGGAGGAAGAAGAGGGAGGGAAAGGCGTATTCGATTCGGAATCGCCTTCCTCCCTCCACCGTGGTTTGGCTGGTTGGCCGTGACAGCCCAAAATAACGTGCTGGAAAATTGTACTACTACTACTTCTGGTTCTGGCTGACTTGGCTGCTGCTGCTGATGTTGCCTCTAGTCAATTTCTTCAGACTTTGGGAGGTCCAGCTGGGCAGGTTACAGATCACGTTTTCTTTCTGAAATAGTATCTCATTGTTTGAGAATCGGTAAGCGTATAATTAGGGGGGCGATTATTTTGACAGTAAATTTAGGGAGTAATTAATCAAGGGGATGGAATGTTTGGAAGGGATCCAAGGTGACATTTTCGTGTGCGGTTATTAAATTCTCCCTTCGTCCCATAATATAAGAGATTTTGAGTTTTGGTTTGTATTGTTTGATCATAAAAAACGAAAAGTTGTGTTTAAAGTACTTTCGATAATAAAAGTAAGTCAAAAAATAATAATTCTAAAATTTTTTGAATAAGATGAGTGGTGAAATAGTGAGAAAAAAACTTAAAATCCCTCGTATTATGAGATGGAGGGAGTAGTAAAAAAATTCATGTTTGAAGGGAGAGTTTAAAATTCGAGGAACAAACCAAAGGGCGGTTTGGATGGCTCTGCAACAACATGACAAGACAAAACAACAGAGTAATGCTGCAGCGAAGGCGTTTGGGTGCATCTCGGATGGAACATGAGGAAATTATAAATGTTTTTTCAGGAAAGGGAAGGAGCTGTGCTAGTTTCATTAAGAAGGATAGAAAAGACAAATTATCACCTCTCAAAATTGTATAGGCCATGTTTAGTTCCCAAAAACTTTTTTCCAAAAACATCACATCAAATCTTTGGACACATGTATGGAGTATTAAATATAGATAAATTTAAAAACTAATTGTACAGTTAGGGGGAAATCACGAGACGAATCTTTTGAGCCTAATTAGCCCATGATTAGTCATAAGTGCTACAGTAACCCACATGTGCTAATGACGGATTAATTAGGCTCAAAAGATTCGTCTCGCAGTTTTCAGGCGAGTTATGCAATTAGTTTTTTTCATTCGTGTCCGAAAATCCCTTCCGACATCCGATCAAACGTCCGATGTGACACCCAAAAATTTTCTTTTTGCGAACTAAACAAGCCCTAAATGTATCTAGTCTTTTGATCTAGTCCTCTTATCAGAGAGGGTGTTATAGAAGATTAGAGTCCAGTTTGCATAAAAATTACTCTACAAATCATCGTCCCCAAAACATAGTACCCCCACAATAATGAATATTGCAATATTAGCATGTAATACCGGAGTTTGTGGTTGGTGGGAGAGAAGTTGCCACATGGCCTACATATATTTTAAAATAAATTGTCAACAAGATATCGCTATATTAAATTATAGTGTGTACAATTTTTCCAAATAGAACCATTTTTGGAGGTGTTTATCCGGATAAAAATTTCCGTAAAGAGTATTTGTTGTCCTTGTTTTAGGTACCAGTTGATGTACTTTCTTGCCTTGCAAAAACAGTCAAGATCGTTTAAATATGATTGTGTCGATCCCCAAATAATCAAATATATGGCCGAGGCGTAGATCCGCTAAAATATTAAGAAATGAACCTACTTGTACATGAGAATACCTACACCAAACCACCATTTGGTGGCAGGTGAGAAATGGCATTGACCATATATGTTATCAAAATGATAGTCGTGTACGGGACACTAACCCATGATTAATTATTCATTTACTGGACAAATAAGGTGCGAGGCTGTGAGCCGGTGGCCACAGCTACTTATTATTTGCTGGCCAGTGTGATCAGAGAAAGAACCAACCATGCACGATTCATGAACGTTACTGTGTATCATATACTATTGTGTAGGCGCGTGCTATAATTTGTCAGTTTGTTCTTAATTTTATCTTCACCAATCAAGGGTAAAATGGATTTATTTTAAGGTCACAATCACAACTATACGTGCCAGGTTTAACACGAGCGAGGCGACTTCTTGGCTCTGCCTTTTGTTTTTCATTGGGAGATGCTTAGGGTGCAGGGTTTCACATTAAGCAATTTAAATCCTTCGTTAATCGAGAAGAAAAATGCATAGTACTATTTCAAAGAGTACAGGGTGATCCGGGTAGTTCATTTACCACGTTTGGACAAATAAGAAATTAAAAACAGCCTAGAGATCGATGCTTGCGTATTAAAAAAAGACTATGCATTATATATGCAAAGCTAAGCTCCTTTCTGTGAATGAATTCTAGTTCTGAACTTTGTACTACTAAGAATTAAAGATTATTGCTTTAAAACTGCTTTACTCATAATTGTTTCATGTTCTAAGTCTAGCTCATGTTTGAAATGGGAATTGTTGCATGTTCTAACTACTTTAAAAAATAGCTCTCCAGTAAGAATTAAAGGGAAATACTTTAAAACCCCCAGTATATTACTTCTTTCAAAGGTTAAAAAGAAATGTAAAATGGAATTGTTGAATGTTCGAAGTCCAACTCATGTTTTGAAGCCAGTTCAATCCCTCTCATTTCAAAATATGTACATATGGATTAAGAAAAAGGACACATTAGGATTAGGTAACCCAAGACAGGGTAGTGGCAGGGAAAAGGCTCTATAGATATATAAATGAACACGCTGCATGCATGAGAGTTGAGAGCTAGCAATAGCTACCAACCTCAACGGCACAAAAGCAAATCAAGCTAGATTAACGCTACATACCACATGTAACTTTTTGTAGGCCACCACTCTATCATGTCGCTTTTCAGAATAATGGTTAGAACCACCCAAAAAGGAAGAGAAAAAAATTGCGTCGACCTCATGTGACGATGCTGTTTGCCATGTGAACAAAAATGCATTCTCCCCGACAAAAGAAATGCAGTCAAAGTGTCATGCATGTTCAACCGAAAATGCTGACAATGATTGGATCAGCGGTAAAACGCCACTGATCGTGATCATTTTATTTATTTTCTTTAACAGCATATGCTTGCTAGTTGCAGCTGCTTCGAAGTTTCTCAAAAAAAAAGAAGAGGTCCATGCTTCAGAAGAAGATAAATACTGAGATCCACTGTTCCTCGTCAAATAGCTGGGTTTACCTTGCCAGAGGACGGGAGGAGGAGCTATTGGCTTATCCCACCTAGACGTAAGCCTAGTACTCCGGTAAATATTCAGACACTAATATATTTTTTATGGTCCAACTAGGGTGCAAGTGGGTTTACCCGTGAACCCGCTTATAGACAAAAATAGTGCATAACCCGCCGGTTTGACTAGCGGGTTAACTATAAATTTGACTTATAGATGGGTTTATATATCGATCTACTTGTATATTTAGATACGGCAAGCCGGGCCACGACGCGAAAACCCATAAATTATTATTTATTTAAACTCGTAGATCGGCCCGCTTGCACCCCTAGGTCCAACAGGGTTGTGCGGTACCTAATATGGACCGTTGAATCTCCCCAATGCTCAATCGAACGGATGAAAAAAGGTAGTACTACGAGGTACCATCGAGACCAATGAGTCGTACCACATCTAGACAAGTACATCCAAGGACAAGAAAGTAATTTCGTATGGGAGTATAGACTGGATCGGCCTGAGTGTTGCGACCGCAAAAATCTGAAACCTAGGTCATCGCTATTGACCGTGCTCGTCCTTCTCCTCATCGCCGCAATACCTTGCTGCCACCACCCTTCCGCACTCCTCGACGGAGTTTTTCTCACCATGGCAGTCCTCGATGCCACAGAGCTCATCGCTCGTATCTTCACCAATATCGCTACCGCCATCCTAGCGGCGCTCTTCTCGCTACAGTGGTACCACGGACCTCATCACCCGTCTCTACGCTGACGAGCCTGTTGGCAAAGTGGACCTTGCCGAGGAGGTGGAAAGATGTTTCCCTTGTAGACACGGCACCAGCGAAGCCCTTGGAGAATGACGATGGGGTTGATGACTGCCGATGCTACCCATTTTGCCCATCACAAACGAACAATTAAATTCGATTTGGTACCTTGAGGTATCACTTGTTAAACCGGAGCAAATCTCAGATAATAATAAGGTCCTTTACCGTTATCATATCTCTGCACTAAGCATAATTATTGCGGTAATGGTAACCAAACATAATAGTACTAGCTCCTTCCATTTCGAAATATAACAAATTTTAGCTCTAAATCTAAACAAAATCTTGTCTAGATTAATGACTAAAAGTTATTATATTTTGGGACATGAGTTGTAATAGAAGGTTAGCTTTAAGCATATTTTTTTCTCTTTATTTCTAAAAACAGGTAATAAAAGTGTCAGAGTAATGGATAAGGCATACCTCCTATACGAGGGCTTATGGTACTATACGGATACCATATATCAATCAGTATTCTGGAATGTGACTTTGTGATAAAGAAATATGGTGGTACGAAAGGAAATTGTCTCCCCGAGTAGAAGGTATCAGAGTTCGACTAGGAGGGGATAAGGTCTCTTTATCACCGGTTCAATTATGGTGGTTCCCTAAGTTCTACTTGAAGAAGGGGACAGTCTATGCTATAAATACAGGACCCCTGGTTCCATGAGGACAGACCAACACAAGCCGTAGCCACAAGCTAGCTAGATCAAGATATGCCAGAGGAAGATAGCAGAAGCCATATTCGTCGAGTAGATCTCGTCAAGTCGTTCTCGGCAAGTCCTAATCGGCGGATTAGGGTACTCAATCTATTCCCCGTGTAATCTTTCTGGTAATGCCATATAAACTGGATTATGGCATTTATGAGGGGCCTAAACTAGTATAAATCCTTGTTTTCGCTTTGCTTGACACAATTTCGTATAACCTTAGCAACCATCATACCCCGATACTCCCGAATACGTAATTCAGGATGAGAATGGTTAGGATATGGATTGAACCTAAACCGTTTTAAGTGAGTTCGTTGATCCATGGTTTAATAGGGTCGATCCACCATGAGTCCATTATATCAATAGGTTATCCATATTACGTGTTGGTAAAACTCGGACCCAAAATTTTTAAACTCGCGTTCACACTTTAAAAACTTAACGAATTCAGTTGAATTT